CCCACAACATTGAGGAACTGTATTAAAGGGTCTCGGCATTAGGAAGGTTGAGAACGACTTAAGGGTATATGTTGCAAGTACAGTCAATAAAACTTGACTTATCAGAGAGAAAGCTAAAAGAAGAAGAAGGAGGAGGAGGAACAGGAAGAGGAGGAGGAGGAGGAGAAGAAGAAGGAGGAGGAGGAGGAGGAGGAGGAGGAGGAGGAGGAGGAGGGGGAGGAGGAGGGGGAGGAGGAGGAGAAGAAGAAGAAAGAGAGAGAGAAAGCTAAGAATTAAAGGTGATGTCTGAATATGGAATATGGATATTCAGTGGTGGTATGCCATTTACTACATGTGGGAAAACTGGCGAGGGAACATTTTTGGAAGACAGTTGGGAATCAAGAGTCATCTCAAATGTGATTTAGAAAAGGCGATGGATATAAATTTTCTGTTGATTAAAAGTGGGTCAAGCCCTAGCCGGTTTGGCTCAGTGGATAGAGCGTCAGCCTGAGGACTGATGGGTCCCAGGTTTGATTCCGGCCAAGGGCACATGCCTGGGTTGCGGGCTCGATCCCCAGTAGGGGGTGTGAAGGAGGCAGCCGATCAATGATTCTCTCTCATCATTGATGTTTCTATCTCTTTCTCCTTCTCCATTCCTCTCTGAAATCAATAAAGAAATATATTTTTTTTAAAAAAAGTGGGTCAAGCTGGGAGATGGGAGTGGCCTGGAAAAGGTCAATGGGGGGGAAAGGAGACATATGTAGTACTTTAAACAATAAAGAATTTAAATTTTAAAAATACATAATAACCCTAGCCAGTTTGGCTCAGTGGATAGAGCGTTGGCCTGTGCACTGAAGGGTCTCAGGTTCGATTCGGGTCAAGGGCACATGCCTGGGTTGCAGGTTCGATCCAAAGTGCAGGAAGTAGCCAATCAATGTTTCACTCTCATCATTGACGTTTCTCTCTCTTTCTCTCCCTTCCTCTCTGAAATCAATAAAAATATATTTTTTTAAAAAAATACATAATACTTGGTAAGATAATAAACTACTATGTTACTATCTATTTTTTAAAAAAAGTATGTCAAGCTTAGGATCCATTAAGAAGACAGGCTTTGGGCTGGAGAAACAAGAATTTGGGTTCAAGATGGGGTAGATGGAGGAAGAAGGATCTGGTTCAAGATGAAGGGAGAAGGATCTGGTTTAGATGTGTGAGCACTACATTATGGGTGAGTCCTGACTCATCCACGGGGTACGCAGCCATGTCCTCTTCCTTCTGGTCAGGATTTGTGGAAAATGAGGAAGAGAGCAGTGCCTGAGGTGGCATTAATTTCAGTAGAGATCATCCAAGGATCCCCACGGGGGCTGAGCAAGGCCAAGAAGGGTGTCAGGTGGGGAGACACCTCACTAGCAGGATGAATGGTGGCTTCTCACATCACCACTTTTTCTACAGGAACTGGAGCTCTGCTATCGAAGCCCTGGGAAACCCCAGCTCTTCTCTGAGTTCTACGTTGGTCATCTGGGGTCGGGGATCTGGCTGCAGATTAAAAGCAAAGATGATGCGACTGTGGTATGGGAGGCCTTGGTGAAACCAGGTAAAGTCAAGACAAGTCCAGAGAGCTCAGTGATGAGAAACAAAGTCAATAAAAGAGTCTGCTTGTGTGTGTGTGTGTGTGTGTGTGTGTGTGTGTGTGATCACAATTTGCTGATGAGAATAGCCACAAAAGTTATGCGATTTTTTTCTAGTTACATAATAGTTGGTGTGACTAGAATTTGAATTAAAGTTGATCTGACTCTGAACTCCATTCTTTCTCCCATGCACCATGGTATCTCTACACTGCCCTTGATTTAACATATTTTGACACCCACAAGGCATTTGGCAAAATTTCTCACAGTTGATTGGATATGAGATGAAAAAATAAGAACTAGACAGTTATATGGTTGTATGAATTAAGCCAATTATGGCAATAGCACATACACTAACCTGAATCATTCAGATATTTTCAAAGTAGCCAAGAGGGAATTAAATAATGAACTTTCAGGAATGAATGTAACTTTACAGTGTCTTAAACTAGCACCAACACGCACAAGAAGCAAAATCCCTCAAAAGTCCTTCTAGGGCCCGCTGGTGTTGCTCAGCGGGTAAGGGTTGATACATGAATCAGGAGGTTGTGGTTTGATTCCCAATCAGGACACATGCCTGGGTTGTGGGCTCCATCCCCAGTAGGGGACATGCAGGAGGCAGCCTATCAATGATTCTCTCTCATCATTGTTGTTTCTAACTCTCTCACACTCTACCTTACTCTCTCTGCAATCCATAATAAAAACATATTTTAAAAATAAAAGTCCTTCTAGAAAAAAGTAGATCATGTTCAATGTTAAAGCATAGTGAATCTGGCCCACTGCAGTGTAGGTCAGTAGTTTGAGTGTCAGCCCATGGACCAAAGGGTCGCAGTTTAATTCCCTGTCAAGAGTAGATACCTGGGTTGCAGGTTCGATTCCCGGCCCCAGTCAGGGTGCATGTGGGAAGCAACCAATAAATGTATTTCTTTCACACTCTCATTCTCTCTCACTCTCATTCTCTCTCTCTCTCTTTCTTTCCTCCCTCCCTTCCACTCTCTCTGGAAATTAATGGGAAAAATATCCTCAGGTGAGGATTAACAACAACAAAAATATATATAGTGGATCTGCCTCCTGAGGTGCTACAACAGGCTTTCCAGGGAGGGGAAAGATAATGTTCTTTACTCGTCTTGGCTCGGGCGCAATCACAGGTGTGGACTAACCAGCCCCTGCATCAGCCCTCCTTTGAATCTCACTCTGGCACTTACTTGCTGGGTGATCTTGGGAAAATGACTTCACCCTTTTGAGTGTCAGATTCCTCATTTATAAAAAGAGGGTTGTCAAACTCAAAGGCTAACACGGGCCAAATAAACAAGGTTTAAGTTTATGTGGGCCACAAATAAACAAAAGCTTCAATTTTCATAGAAACATAGGTTTATTTCATAGAGATATGCTGAATACAAAGGACTAGAATAAATGAGTCATCGTTAACATAAAATAATAGAATATTTTAATAAAAATTAATATTTTTTTGAACATTAACTTATCAGACACTGAAGAACTTCACAAATTAATAAGCGTAAGGCAAATAAACCTGTTTTTCTTGTTCTCCAAAAGCGAAATATGTCCTGTTGTGCACACCAAACAAGTCAGTCTAATACTAATGACGTGGCAATCGGCTGCTAAATATTCACTGCTAGAATTAGTGGAGAGAAATGGTGCGCCTGTGCATAAGGCACGTAATGGAAATGAATGCAACACGATTATGTAATCAGTCATTAGCAAAAGTTGCAGTTCGTCATTAATAATTATGTATAACAGGATATTGTAAAAATTAAGTTACAAAATTTTTATTAAAACGTTTCTTACATACCATTATATTGGCTGGGCCACAAAAATATTCGCTGTGGGCTGCATGTGGCCCGCAGGCCATGAGTTTGACATCCTTGATGTACATGCATATCTCATGCAGTGGTCCTTATAAATCAGGGATGGGGAACCTTTTTTCTGCAAGGGCCATTTGGATATGTATAACATCATTTGTGAGCCATACAAAATTATCAACTTAAAAATTAGCCTACTGTCCTAGCCAGTTCGGCTCAGTGTGTAGAGCATCAGCCCTTGGACTAAAGGGTCCTGGATTTGATTCCAGTCAGGGACACGGACCTTGGTTGCAGGCTCTATCCCTGGACATGGTTGGGGCCCATGTTTCTCTCTGTCTCTCCCTCTCCCTTCCACTCTCTCTAAAAATCAATAGAAAAATATCCTCAGGTGAAGATTCTCTCTCTCCTCTCTCTCTCTCTCTCTCTCTCTCTCTCACACACACACACACACACACACACACACACACACACACACACAAAATAGCCTGCTATGTTTGGTCAAACATTTAATTAACTCACCCCTAATGCCTTGGCAGGGCCAGACCAAATGATGTCATGGCCTTATACAGCCCATGGGCTAGACGTTCCCTACCCTTGTTATAAATAGTAGCAGTATTATAATTTATCCTTATGTTAAATGATCTTCTTAATTCTGCTCTTTGGAGCTGACAAAAGAATTTATCTCCAACCCCATGGGAAAGCCCTTCAGGTACCTGAATATGGATCATAGCTTCCCTAAAGTCACCTCCTGTGCAAGTTAAACAGTTCTATTTTCTTCCTTCCATCATTCCTCTTTTTTAAAAATTAAATCTTTATTGTTCAGATTATTACATTTGTTCCTCTTTTTTCCCCCCATAACTCCCCTCCTCCCAGTTCCCACCCTACCCTCCGCCCTCACTCCCCACCCACTGTCCTCATCCATAGATGCTCGATTTTTATCCAGTCTCTTCCCACATCCCCCACACCGCTTCCCCCCCCCCCCGCAAGAATAGTCAGTCCATTCCCTTTCTATGCCCCTGATTCTATTATAATCACCAGTTCATTCTGTTCATCAGATTATTTATTCACTTGATTCTTAGATTCACTTGTTGATAGATGCATATTTGTTGTTCATAATTTGTATCTTTACCTTTTTCTTCTACCTCTTCTTAAAGGATACCTTTCAGCATTTCATATAATACTGGTTTGGTGGTGATGAACTCCTGTAGCTTTTCCTTATCTGTGAAGCTCTTTATCTGACCTTCAATTCTGAATGATAGCTTTGCTGGATAAAGTAATTTTGGTTGTAGGTTCTTGGTATTCATCACTTTGAATATTTCTTGCCACTCCCTTCTGGCCTGCAAAGTTTCTGTTGAGAAATCAGCTGACAGTTGTATGGGTATTCTCTTGTAGGTAACTGAGTTTCTTTCTCTTGCTGTTTTTAAGATTCTCTCTTTGTCTTTTGCTCTTGGCATTTTAATTATGATGTGTCTTGGTGTGGTCCTCTTTGGATTCCTTTTGTTTGGGGTTCTCTGCGCTTCCTGGACTTGTAAGTCTATTTCTTTCACCAGGTAGGGGAAGTTTTCTGTCATTATTTCTTCAAATAGGTTTTCAATATATTGCTCTCTCTCATCTTCTGGCACCCCTATAATTCGGATGTTGGTACACTTGAAGCTGTCTCAGAGGCTCCTTACACTATCTTCATATTTTCGAATTCTTTTTTCATTTTGCTTATCCGGTTGGGTGTTTTTTGCTTCTTCACATTTCAAATCTTTGACTTGATTCTTGTGCTCCTCTGGTATGCTGTTGGGAGTCTGTATAATATTCTTTATTTCAGTCAGTGTGTGCTTAATTTCTAGTTGGTCCTTTATCACAACATCGAGGGTCTCATTAGATTTCTTGAGGATCTCACTACATTTATCAGTGGTCTCACCAGTCTTTTCGAGGGCCTTACTAAATTTATCGGCGGCTTCTAGACAGTTCTTGAGAGACCTTAAAAGTGTGGTTTTGAGCTCTATATCCAGCATTTTGCCTTCCTCCATGTCTGTCCTGTTTCTTTGTCTCCGCATTTTTTTGCTTTCTTGGTGCACCCCCTAGTGGTCTTTGTGCGCTGTCTTGTTGTAGTTAAACCTTGATTGTTGTAGGTAACACTGGGGGGTATTTGACCTCCAGGCCAACTGGCTGTGAGAATCAGCTGTGTCTGCAGTGGGAGAACTTCTGTCCTCTAGGGAGGTGCTAATCTAGCCTTTGCCTGAGGCTAACCAGCAAATGCCTCTGTGCAAGGCTTGGACTGAGCGGGTCCCAGGGTATCAACAAGGTGGGCCGAGCAAGCAGTTATGGCTGCTCTCAGTCTGGTCCCCAGAAGCTCTGCCTCTCAGTGTCCCAGCGACCACTGCAAGTACCTCGGAGAGAAAGCTGCCCTCAAGTTCCGACGGATGCCAGACAGTCTCGTTTCTCCCGTTTGAGTCTGGTTCCCCAGAGACTTGCCCGGAACTGGAACTCAGAGCCTGAGACTCCCTCCCGATTGAAACAGACAACCACACCCTCAGCCACCAGCCCACTCCACATGCACCTCTGCACCTTTGTATTTTCCGCAGTGCTCCTCCTCTGAGTCTCGGTATGCTTTTCTCTTTCTTTCTAGTTGGAGAATTTCTCCTCAGCCAGCCTTCCTGTGGTTCTGGATGATGTCCGTTCCATCTTTTAGTTGTATTTTTGAAGTGGTTGTGCGAGGCAGCATTCTCCGGTGTTTACCTATGCTGCCATCTTTGTTTCCTCCCATCATTCCTCTTACATTTTGGATTTTAACATTTTGCCTCCTCAGTAGATGTGCCAATTTGAGAATGAGTCAGGATAGACTCTCAGACTGTCCAGTCAGCATGGAGGACATGGGACACCCTCCTCCCTCCATCCAAGTGAACCCGCTGCTCCCAACACCACAACTGGAGCTCCCCTGTGTTTCACTTCCCTCCCACACTGTCAGGTCAAACTGAACTTGGGTCAGCTCAAAACCTCAGGCCATGTCCACAGGGGCTGTTGTGGTCTCCCCCTTCCTCTCCACATGCAAATAATTATTTAATCCCCTTTTTGTTTGTTTGTTTTCTATTGAAATTTACTTATTACTCTGAGGTGCTAAGATTTTCTTGATGATAATTCTTGATTCTGACATCAGACTCCAGAACAAACAGTGTGGGAATCAAAGTGCAAAAAAGGTCAAGGAGGTAGATTTATGCTCAGGATAAGGAGATCTCATCGTTGAAGATATCTAGCAAAGGTCTGGGATATTTCTCCACCAGAGTTCCATTCAGGCCAAGACAGAATTAAACCCTGTGCAAAGGGGGGTAAAGAGGAAAATTGGGCCTCTGTTTCCCAATAAGCATAAAGAAATGATTCATCAACATTGTGTGAATGGGCACTTGCAACCCTTAATCCTTATTCTGTCAGAATTAGTCTGTAGCTTGTTCTCAGAATAAATCTCAAAAGAGAAAAGTAGGTAGGAGTTTCAAGGCTTATTGTTTGTGTTAATAACTATCATTGATACTGATGTTTATTCATATCTCTTTTCCTCCAGGAGACTTCGGATCTGCAGCTACCCTGACAGGTCAGTAACAGCTGTTAGAGGCCACAGGAGCCATGGCAGTTCTGGAATATCCTACTTGGTCCTGGAGGGAGGGAGTAGAGAAAGAAAGGGGACTCATTAAACCTCACAAGGGTTCAGTCCTTGGAGAGCTGTGTACCCCAAGGCAGAGTTCTCCCCCATCCCTTTTATTCCTGCCCATCATGGCTCTGGCACCTTCCACTGAACAATCTCAAATGTCTGCATCATGAACCTGACCCCCACCCTTAGCTCAGCAGAATGCTAGGCTGGAAGTTGACATGAGGGAGGGCAGAGGTACCTTTCTGGTGGTCCGGGAAACGTGTGGGGATCAAGGAGGAGCCAGGGATGCAGATAAAGAGAGTGAAGAGTTAGGCTGGGGAATTAGAGGGAGAGGATGTGATGGAAACCCTTTCTTATTCATTACTGGCCTCACCTTCACCCCCAGATGCCCCTACTTTGCTGCACTTTGTGGACAAGCATCGGGAGGACCTGGTGGCTCGAGTGACATTGGTGGATGCAGTTCTAGACAAGCTGCATAGACAGGTGCTGAGCGAGGAGCAGTATGAGAGGGTGCGGGCTGAGCGCACCAATCCGGACAAGATGAGGATGCTGTTCAGCTTCACCAAGTCCTGGGACAGGGCCTGCAAAGACCAACTCTACCGAGCGCTGAAGGAGATCCATCCTCACCTAATTATTGATCTCTGGGAGAAGTGACGCAGTGGAGGAGACTAGGGGAGCTACTGACATGCTCGGCAGCTGAAGTCTGAACACCTGCTTCTGAGTCCTGGCTCTGACTGTCCAGGCTTTGGGTCTAGGTTTCTTCAAGTCTAAACACATTGCCATCGCCCAGCCAGAGAGGCTCAGCTGGTTGAGTGTTGTCCTGTGCACCAAAGGGTTGCTGGTTCAATTTCTGGTCAGAGCACATACCTGGGTTGCAGGTGCAGAAAGCAACTGATTGATGTTACTTATGTCTCTCTCTCTCTCTCTCTCTCTCTCTCTCTCTCTCTCTCTCCCTTCCTCCTTCTCCCTCTCTCTGAGCATGTCCTCAGTGAGGATAAATAAATAAACAAACAAACACATTTCCATTTGAGTTGCCTTCTTGCCTAAAGTTATGGAGCATTGATAATACCTTTGCTGGGCATTATATGTCCATGCTCAGTGATGCCTGCCACATGGGCTCCCAGTCTGCCTCCCTATTATTAGGGACCAGTAGATATTTGTATATGATGATACTACATTTTTCATATCATGATACTACATTTATGTATCATGTTACTACACTATAATAAGGCAGAATACTGGGTAGACAGAGGGCCTAAGATTGAGAAATATGTGGGAGACGTTAGTTTTAGAGTGCACAGTGCATTTACTTGTGAGACAATACAGAGGGCAGCACAGGAAGCCATAAGCTCTCTCAGCGGTTCTCAACCTGTGAGTCGTGAACCCTGAAAATACATCCTGCATATCAGATATTTACATTACGATTCATAACAGTAGCAAAATTACAGTTATGAAGTAGCAACGAAAATAATTTTATGGTTGGGGGTCACCACAATGTGAGGAATTGTATTAAAGGGTCGTGGCATTAGGAAGGTTGAGAACCACTGCAAGTAATGGGAAGACAAGGGTAGACTATTGGGTAGTGCTGCTATTGCAAAAGAGAGGCAGGAGCAGGAAAGGATGAGCCCAGATAGTGATGGGTTAATAAAAGGCAGAGAAGAGCCAGGAGGAAGGACTCTAGGTCCTGCAGGGCCAACCCCTACTAATTAGAGCCTGAGTGTCAGCCACCATCCCCTCTGCACCCCTAGAATTTCACTGTAACCTTGCTCCCATGACACCTTACCCTCTTCAGAACAGGCCTGGGAAGACATGGTCGGACCCGGGCAGGGATCCCTGCCTTTGGTCAAGGGAGGAAGGTCCTGGGTCCTCCCTGACTGGGCATCTTCAGCCCTGGGGCTTGCAAAAATGAGCTCAGGGCTGGTCCGTGCCCAGAGAAAAGAGCTTTATTGCTCGGGCTCGCACAAGACAATTTCCGCACCACACAGTGTCATTTGGATAAATACCTGGCAACACCGACAAAGCCTCTAGAAGCGTCTAACTGGTCAGCATCATGTGCATCCGTTAACAATTGCACCAGCACAGTTAATAAAGTGACCCTCTCATATCCACTCCCTCAGTCAAAACCAATGACTACATTCCCACTACTTCCCCTGATAGCACCCTGTGTCAGTGCACCCTCAGGGCCTACTACAGCAGCAGGCTCAGGGCAGACACTGAACCAATGTTTGCTGAATAAGCAACGAATGAATTCTCAAGTGACAGTGCTCTTTTACAGGTTGTGTAGGTTGTCCCCCACCTCCACTGTCCCCCACCCCATCATTACACACACACACACACACACACACACACACCAATCTTCATTCCCTCTGCAGAGTTGAGTCCTTCTCAGTCCCTGGCCTCCCCTAACAGGAACACCTTCCACCTGAGCTACTTTAGCTCTTAGATTTCATCACCCAGGCTCCTCCCAGCACCAGTAAAAGGTTTCCCGCCACTGTCTGGAGGACCCCAGCCAGGACCCCCATCTGCGAAGCCCACAAGCTAAGGGACTGTGTCCTAGGATGTCTTCAGCCTTTGGTCCGCCCTCCAGCACTCAGTGAGGAGATTCCCTTCCTGGCAGGACAGCTCCTGGGGCGATGGGCCTCTGCTCAGCTCCCAAGCAATGGTGGTGGCTGCAGGGAAGCCTAAAGCAGGAAGAACTCACAGTCCGGGTCAGCCCGAACCCCTGGGAACAGGGCGCACCACCCTGACAAAGGCTGCTCACTGTGCCCTGCACTCCCGCAAAGTCCCTGAGTGCTCAGGCTCCCAGCTCCCGCGCTCAAAGACCTGTCTGTGCAGCTCCTGGCACAGCTGCCTCCTCCTGGGCAATGCCCAGCCCTGGCCAGGGCGTCCACCCTCTCCACGGGCCTCTTTGGAGGGCTGTGGGCAGTGGTTGGCTCATCCCTTACAGAACAGTCTGGAGGCTGTGGGCGCCCTAAACACACAATGACAGGTTCCCTGCGCATGCCCCCATCTCACAAAGTGGATGGGTCCGCAGATGTTATCCTATTATCAACTGCACCCCAAGATTCTAAATATTGGGATCTAACTGCCCTCTCATCTAACATTCAGGTGCAAACATAGACCCTTATTTTATTATTGGCAGCTGCTTCAACATCTCTACTGATGGACAAAGGTAGTGACAAGCAGAAAAGAAAAGAAACAAACATTAAAAGCTAAAGCAGGACCTCAAAGCAGGGCGCCTGTGGGCGGTCCTTCCCAGACTCTGGGCGGGGCCCTCGGGGGAACACAGTGACACAGTTTGGTGGTTTTTCATGTTCCTGCGGGGCTGTTGCTTAGTTGCGAGCATATCTGGTTCCAAGGAGAAGACTGGGAGGGGGCAGCGGGGCTGAAGAACTGGGAACCAGGCGGGGTTGCAGCCCTGGGAGCTCCACTTCACAGCAGCATCACAGGAACCCTTAACCGGGGGTGGGGGGATTTGGGAGGAGAGAGCTGGCCACAGAGGAGCAGGAGGCAGGGGAGGTTCGAAAGTAAGGGGAAGTCCAGGTCTTCATAAGAACCAGGAGCGGTGTGCTGAAGGAGCCCAGTAGCAGGACATGAGCCAGCTTCTCCTAGGCTCCTCCCATGGCGCCCTGCCCTGGTGCTGGAGGAAGGTGGGAGGAGGCGGCTTCTCCGAGCTGCCATGGGGTTGGGCCTTGAAGGTAATAGGTAGGAGTTGAGGTCTTCGTGTTGGCATAATAATGCAGTGATTCTTAATCTTTTGGGGAGTAGTGACTCCCTTTAAAATGTTATAAAAGTTATGAGCCATCGGAAAAACAAAACGAAACAAAAAGTTATGAACTGAGGGTTCAATATTTTGACTTCAGAAATTTGTCTTTGGTTCCGTCTGGCACAAAGGGCTCTCTCTGGCGTTGAACTGATGGAAGGAATAAACCATCTCTGCTTTACATCATTACAACCTGAAAGCACTTCCAAAGTGCAAGGACAGCAGCGCCTGGCGGACTCCACCCCACCCTACCGCAGAGAGCTTTTCCTGAAGTGCCTGTGGCATTAATGTGTGTTAAGGTAGCTCCTGTGGGCCTGCGTCCTGTATGGGATCTTAGGTCCTCAACAAAGAATGTGCAGCGATGCTCTCTGAAGCCCATCAGCGGGCCTGGTAGTGCTGCGGCGCCCTCTGAGTGTGTAGACTGGGGAGGCTCTCTGTGCTGAACCAGGTCGGTAGCTGAATGACTAGCAGGGAATCTGTGCGTTCAAATCGAGGTGCTGTGATGGAGGAAATCTATTGCCGGGCCCCACAGATATTGCTCCCATCAGAGAAAAAAAGAAATTCCTCCTGAACCACATATCATTTCATTTCTTAGAGCAATGGTTCTCAACCTGTGGGTCGCGACCCCTATGGGGGTAGAGCGACCCTTTCACAGGGGTCGCCTAAGACCATCGGAAAACACATATATAATTACATATTGTTTCTGTGATTAATCATTATGCTTTCATTATTTTCAGTTTGTAACAATGAAAATACACCCTGCATATCAGATATTTACATTACGATTCATAACAGTAGCAACATTACAGTTATGAAGTAGCAACAAAAATAATTTTATGGTTGGGGGTCACCACAACATGAGGAACTATATTAAAGGGTTGCGGCATTAGGAAGGTTGAGAACCACTGTCTTAGAGGGAATTCAGCTCCATTATAATCTTATAGGACCACCGTAGAATATGTGGTCCACTGCAGACTGGAACATTGTTATGTGGCACCTGACTATAGTGTGAATGTCTGACCGTATCTAAAAGAATAAATGATAGTACCTCCATACAAATAAAATTCTACACGGACCATTTTAGAAAGTGCCATATGTACCAACTTGGAAAGAAGCCTACAACATATTGTAAAATGAAAAAGGGAAGTTGCAGCACAATATGTATAGCATTAACACTCACTTTGGATTTTACAAGCCATATTTAATAAAAATAGCTAATGATGTATTGAATATTCTTTGCCAGGCACTTATCTAAATATTTAATCCTTATAACAATCTCATGAGATAAGTAGTACTATTCCATTCTTTCAGATGAAGAAACTGAGGCACCGAGAAGTGAAGTGATTTTCCCAAGGCTGTGGGGATGGTGAAGTGCTGGAGCCCAGAATTGAGCCTGGCAACCTGACCCCTGAGCCGGCACCATCAACCACGTGTCAGGAGCTTAGGACTGGGTCTCGGACTGGGCTGGGAGAGGAAGCGCCTTTCTCTGCCCACTTTTCCCATTTACGCGTTGTTTGATTTGTTACAATGAGCATGTAATTGGAAAATAAAAATTTTATAAAAGCGCTCAACCATGTGGCATCCTTGCCTGGGATGGGAGCCAAGAGAGGGTGGAGGGACCCACAGACGTTCTTCTCAGGCTGGTCTGAGCTCAAACCTGACTTCTCATTATCCCCCCTGATGCACCTTTCTCATCAGCCAGCAAAGGGACAAGGGAAAGGGCCCAACTTCGGTGTAAGACAATCTGTCTTCCAGCTCTTTCCAGGCACTGGCCAGTAGAGTGGGCTTTGCACGGCATCATAAACACTGCGCCCCCTTCTCAGCTGCAGACACTACCACCACCATCAGGGCTTCCTGCCAGGCTCAGAGAGCAGGACTGGCAAGCAGCAGG